TTTTTTTTTTCAAACAATAAATATTATTAAACAAACTCAATAAGATATATAGTTCGGTAATCAACGGATTACAATTGCCCAAGAGGGCTAAACCGGGGAAAAGCCCGCAAGGCCTCCCCTATTACAACCACCACGGCTCACTACTACCCAATTAAAACAAAAAGCATAGCATACTACAATTAAGCAATAACAAAGTACTTAGCTAGCGTCCTTAAATATACAAGATTATAACATAGAACAGATATCATAGATATCCTCCATTACTACCTGGAAACAGGGTTGTAAACAAATCAAACATTTTTGATTCGATTCGTGATTCGAATTCGATATTCGTGATTCGAATTCGAAATATTCGAATTCGAATTCGAATTCGAATGATGTTTTAGATTCGAAATTATAACGAATTCGAATTCGAATGTGTAGATATTCGATTCGAAATTCGAATATTCGATTCGTTAACAAAAATTATATAAATTTTACAAAATATACATAATATACATTTTGTTTATAATGTATGTATATATATATTGTTATATTCCTAATATTTTTATGACATAAAAAGTAAAAACATCATAAATTAACAAATTTTTCTAAAAATATATAAAAAATAAAATTTATTTTTGTAATTATAATATTTTTATACAAATTATATATAATATACATTTTGTTTATAATATATGTATATATATATTGTTATATTCCTAATATTTTTATGACATAAAAAGTAAAAACATCATAAATTGACAAAATTTTCTAAAAATATATGAAAAATAAAATTTATTTTTGTAATTATAATATTTTTTAATTATAATATTTTTTTGAAAACGAATTTCGAATCGAATCGAATATGTTCGAATATTCTAAACGAATCGAATACGAATCAAAAAATGAATTCGTTATCGAATCGAATCACGAATCGAATCTTCGAATATTTAAACGAATCGAATCGAATCTCTGGGTATCGCTTTGATTCGATTCGTTTACAACCCTACCTGGAAATGTGTATCCAGATTACCCTTGGCATTGAAGTTTGTAGCTACAGCTTTGGAGTGTGTAAATATCTCCACTCTTTTGCACCTCTCCTCAGCTTTTTGCATAAGCCAATCTCGAATAGCCACTATCTCCTCTAATTTGCTCATCTTCTGCTCCTCCCCTTCAATCCACAGCCATCTTGATGTCTATCCATCTTCTTTAGATGCCAGCCCTCGCAGCATCTCATTCAAAGCAATACCACCACTAGCACTGAATGCATGATCTTGCACCCTTAATCCTTGTGTTATTCCTCTGCCTATGTCCTCTGTACTGCCAGCTTCTAGATTCTGATCCACTCTGCCTTCTCTTCCCACACTCTCAAATTCCAACCATTCACCTCTACCCCATTCCACAAGTTGCACTTCGTGATTTCCTTTCTTTCAAAGACCTAACTGTTCCTCGTTCTCCACAGCCACCACAACAAGTATGTAGACAGTGTTATTATGTGCTTGTTGTGGTCATTCTGCTTCAATTTGCAAAGAATCACTCCACCAATCCTTGAAGTCAACCTTCTCCCTATCAAGTTTGTCCCATTGCAGCCCAACAATTTTCCACACCTTGTGAGCTCTGGTGCATTTGAAGAGTATATGCTCCATATCTTCCATTTGCTCCCCACACTAGCTACATACTACATCTATATCCACACCCTTTTGTCTCAACCTTAGTTTTGAAGCAATCTAATTATGCCAACATCTCCATAGAAAACTTTTGATCTTATGTTTTATTGGTAATCTCTAGGTGTTTTTCCACATCCTATGTATTTCCATGCTGCCTCTACTGGCCTCAATTATGCCTTGACTTTCCAAATTATGCTGTCTGATTGTCAAATATGCTTCTCTGACAGTAAATACTCCATTTTTTATCTGGATGCCATACTAATCTATCTTCCGTCCCCCTTTGGCTGATATGGATCTTCATGATTTGTTCTGCATCAGATTGTTGAAATGTCTGCATGATCAGCTCTTTATTCCACTGCTTCCCACCTGCTATCATCAACTCAGAAACTTTTGTTAGCCTTTTCCTATCATCTTGAAAACATCACATAGGTTTAAATTGGGATACTTCTGGAATCCAAGGAGAATTCTACATATTAAAAGATGCCCCTGTTCCGACCTGATATCTCATCCCCAATTTTATTAACTTTCTTGCCTCTAACCAACAATTCCATATCCATGAATCACTATTCTTTTTTTTTTTCACCTCCATAATATCCTGATTATGAAAATACCTCCCCTTTACAAGTTTACGCATCAACAAATTAGGCTTACTCAAAATTCTCCATAATTGTTTAATGATCAAAGTCAAGTTCAAGAGTCAAATACAAATAACAATGCCATATGCATGGGGCCAGATTTCTATCTTATTCCTAGACCAGGAAAAAGGGCATACATGGAAAGGTGTATATTTTCTCGTTTTGAGATTTTTCCATACCACTTTGTTCATGAAAGACCCAATTTGTGAACTCAACCACATCTGCCCTAAAATCCCTCATAAATTTATGGGCTTAAAGAAATAAGGGATCTAACCCAAAAGCATAAAGTGCAATTCAATATACGTAAAACCGGCTTTAATTGGATTTAATGGTTAAAAAGAGTTAAAGTTGATTGAGTGGAGATATGACCATTTGGCAGCCGGGTCGCCGAGCTTGATTTTGGACTAGTTGACGTATTATTAGTTAAAATATCAATTAAGTTGAAATTTTGTTTGTGTTACAAAATGATATGTTAACTTGTAGCATGCCAATTAAGTTGCCTATCAAAGTCCTCGTAGTTCTCTTACTATACTTACCTTGGTAAAAGTAGATGGCAGGAATGAACTGACTGTCTCGTCCTCGTAGTCGTATGTGTTGCAGTCCTCTTCATTTCTGGCGGTTCCACCATACTAACTGTAAAATTGGATGCCTCATCATCTTTGATAGTTAACATGGCTTTTTGTACCCTCATTTCAACCTTTTTCCAGTTTCTCAACAGCATTTGAGCCTCCAAGTTTTGTGGTGTCAACCTCGACCGTCGTGCGTCCTGTGTATTTCCTCCCTCGCTGAATGTTTGTTCAACCGCCACTGTAGAGATTGAGATAGTGAAGATCTCCTTGGCCATCAAGAATGAAATTGTATAAATGGTGGTCATTTTTTACCACCAATTCAAGACGTTGAATTATTTGGCGGAACTGGTTCACGAGCAATCTTAAGTACCAAATTCGTGTGAGGTAGTGATGGAACTCACTGTATCCAGTCCTCTTTGCCCTTTTGATATTAGCATTTTTGTAGGGATTAGAGTCATCCTACCAGTCATCAAAATTTTGGGCTTGTTGCATCGTCTGTCCCCATTGTCCATAAGCAGAAGACCCGAAAGCAGTTGAAGAAAATGACGTTAGATTTTCCCCGAGTTGGATTTTTGTTTTCCTAAATAATTCATACAATAAATGTTTTGCTTGCTAGACGAACTGCAGTGGGTTAGGTCTTACACTGACAGTCGGGACATCAGTGGGTAGTGGGAGTTGATACATGATATCATAATATGTGTTAAGTTGGCCGAGCAAGCCATTTTCACGTAATGACGAATCTAACAAAGCTACAACTAAAATTGCATCAGCAATGAAAAAAATAATATTTTAACTTTTCTTAACATATCTCTTACAAGTTCGTCATGCAAGTTGGGATCACTAGTAAAAATATCTCTAAAATTCCAGATTACGGCTACACATTGACTTACAACAATCACAATATTGGGGGCTAGGGTACGAGAAGACGGGAGCGTCCTACAACCATGAGATAATAACAAAACTAATCACAATATTTTTTATAATTATAATGAGTAATTTTTTTTTTTAAATTATGTCATCAGAAGTATTATGAAATTGGTATTATTGATCTTATTCAAAATATATCTAATCAATCAATCATTCTATTTATGTGTGTGTGTGTGTGTGTGTGTGCTTGTGTGTGTGTGTGTGTGTGTGTTTGTTTGTTTGTTAATATGTTACTGTCGATTTTTTTTTATATTTATTCAATCGTCAAAACAAAACTTGTACTAATACATTTATTTCTTTGGGTATATTATTAAAACAATAAATTTATCTTCACATATCTTTGAGACCAAAATTTATTTCAAGCAAAAATAAGTGTTAATATAATGAAAGTTGTACTAATACATTTATATTTTTTACTATATTATTGAAACAACCAATTTATCTTCACGAATTTTTAGACCAAGTTTTAATTAAAACAATAATTAGTTTAAATCTTTTCAAATTTCTTAATGAACTAATCAATTTTAGTTTTATGTAATAAATAAATGTCTAATAGTAATTGCCAAATTTAGCTGAAATGTTTAGGCGGGAAAATTTGTGACAAATATAGTAAAATAGATTGGTCCATTATATAGACTAGTGTTGATACCCGTG